GAATCTCATTATATTACAAATTAACCTCTTTGGAAAAACTCTTTTCTATCATTTTAAATGAAATGATATTAAAAAAAAGAAATATGCTCCACATTTTTAAAGCTGGCATGACTCAAGTATCACATGTCAGTTACATGACAGTAACTGCTAGGTCTACTATCTCATGACTAATCACAGAAAGGAGGGTTGTCTGGTGGTTAATGTTAAGAGAGAACTGGACTTGACATAACAGTAGCCATTTTCTGTATTCAGCCACATTATCAGAAAGCGAGAACACCATTTAGTCAGGAATAATTTGGTCTCTGACTAAGCAGACAAAACAGCTGCACAGCTGAAGTGTTGCTAATAAGGATAGATAAAGTGACACATTTATGAGAATGGGAGGGAGTGTGGATCACTGATCTTGGATCTGGGTGTCTATGACTACGAGTTTCTCGCTGGGAGTTGCTTTGCTGATAACTAAAATTATGAGTTATTTACTGATGCTAAGGAAATTGTTAACCCATTAGCAGTTACTATGAGTTATGTGCTTTGTTCTGAACAACCTATAAAGAGAGTAGTTAGAGTATGCAATTTGGAGAAGTTTGGAGAGAGAGATTTCAACAAGCTAGGAGACTGACCGCCAACTCCCCAGCGGCTAGGAGGGAGACTGTCCACCAGAAACCTGCTGCTGATCACTTGACACCACCTTAGACTTTGGGTAACTAAGTCTGGGGTGCTCTAGATTACTGCTATTTTAGACAAGTGCTTTAGACTAGTCCACGAAAGCTTATGCTCTAATAAATTTGTTAGTCTCTAAGGTGCCACAAGTCCTCCTGTTCTTCTTTTTAATAAAAACAAGGATTTTTGAGTGAAAGCACTCTTGTGTGTACCAATCATTTGTCAGACAGAAGCACTTATTTAGGGCTTGAAACTGCCTAAGAGACTAGTTACCACAGTTTCAGGTTCAGGAAACCCCAGATAACAGTTGGAACATGCAACTGTGATTCAGGCCTCCTCAGTTCTAGTCTCATTTTCTGCTTTTCAATTTACATATTCCCTTTTATCTTAGAGCCTTTGCCAAACATTAAGAGCCAAATTGTGGCCCCTCTCATCTGCACTGGAGAGGAATTGCTCACCTGAGTATGCTCACTGAAATTAATGGGATTACTTATGCAAGTAATTGCTCACTAGTGAAAATAAGATTCCACACTCTAGCTCTGCATAATTAAGGATGGAATTTTCAGATGCACATAAATGATTTAGGACTTGTCTATCTGGGGACACCTAGGAAAGTGAAAATGAATTAACTAAACATGTGAAGTTAAAGCACATAAATTATCCTTCAAGGAGGATTAAACTAAAGTAAACTGGCCAGTTTATGTCTGAAGGAGAGCATCTACACGGGAGTTTAATGTACTTTACTTTCGCACACTAACTTCATAGCTTTAATTGATTCCTGTTATCTTTCCTGAATGTACACATGTCCTTAGGAGCATTTGTCCCATTGCATTCCCATAGAGGACAGAAAGCATGTTACTTTTAGCTGCACGTAAAGTATCTAATAGTGCAGGTAAAAAATAGAGTTTCTCAGTGAAAAATCCACATGACAAACATAGCAACCTCACACTGCAAAATCACCATTGTAATGTCCTAAATATATTGATGTCACTTCCATACCCCCTGCAAAACCAAACAATGTGTAGGGTCATAAAACAAGCCTAGCACCCATCTGGTCACAGCTGTGCCAATCCCCACTTGTCACAGTTTGAAGAAGTAAGTATGGCTCCTTTGCTTCTGACAGAGAACAAGACAATGCTTCATTCCTGCTCCCAGCTCCCTTAGTCTCAAAAGGTCAGTTTCTTTCCTCCCTCCCTCCCTTCCTTCCAGTATGCTTGACAGCCTATTGTCTCCCAACTTAATAGGCTACCCAAACAATTCTAGTATCAGAGGGGTAGCCGTGTTAGTCTGGATCTGTAAAAAGCGACAAAGAGTCCTGTGGCACCTTATAGACTAACTGACGTATTGGAGCATAAGCTTTTGTGGGTGAATATCCGCGTCTGACTCTTTGTCACTTCAAACAATTCTAGTAATCTTAATGACAAAGGTTACTGGGTATAAGGCAAAAAATAAAGAGAAAACCACGAAGCTACTAAACAGAATAGAAACCACTTTATAAAACTGATTAATCACTTTGAAAAGCCTAGCTAACCACACTGTATGGTCTGTTACAGGGTATAGTAGTTAAGCAAGTGGTTAACCTTCTATTTATTGGAAAGATTCTGTCTTCCCCAAAAGCTGCTGTCTTGTCTTTCTCTTGATGTCTGAGACAGGTGTGTCTCAAGCTATATGAAGCCTTGGTTATTTATGTCACTACAGAACCAAGAGATATAAAACCAGATCCTCAGCTAGTGTAAATCAGCATAGTTCTGCCAACATCAATCGAGCAATGACACTTTACATATGCTAGGAATCTGGCTCATAGATCATTAAGGTTTGCAACTCTTAAATCTATTAGTATTTTGGCACTACTTCACTTTGGACAAAACCCTAATAGAAAATACCAGGTATCCACTTGCAATGTTGCATCCATAAATATTAATCAGATCTCTTTTGCCCCTCTGAAGTCTCACATCTCCAGATTCTCTGCACAGGCTGCAGCTGTATGGGAAAAGAGGCAGAAGCCTGAGAATAACTTGCTCTTTGAAGCTTGTATAACTCATAATAATGCCATGTGGCTCTCTGTCCCCATCTAGTGGTTAGTGAGTTTAAGAATTTATTACTGCCTCTGAGCTAAGGGACCTTGTACAATAACTAAGAGGTAGTAATGATAATAATAAAATATTAACAACAACAACAATAATACCACCACCCAGCTCTGATGTAGTGCTTTTCATTATTAGATCTCAAAGCCCTTTCTAATGAAGGTTCAGTCTCCACATATGATCTAACCCAGGGATGTCATTACAAACGTGTCAAGAGGCCATAGTTAATATTGACCAGAAAAGCATTATTTTTCTTCCTAGTATGTGATCTTAATAAAGCACACGTTGCCAAACCACAGACATCTTTAGGCAAGTTAAACACACTTAAATTAGGAGACAAATTTTCAAAATTTTACCATTTATGATCAAATATTGCATATATTCAGATTATTATTGTATGTAGTGGGCATGTGAGACTCAATATCCTAGAGTTTCAGTCCAGAACAGGGAATGGAGATTACTTGGATGTGACTGGTATTCTGGGTGTTCAAGAGATGTTTGGTGCACCTTGGACTTAAAAAACAAACAAACCATTTGCGGGGAAGGAACTCAACTCAGCAAGTTATCTTTGACGACAAATGAGTTTATTCCTATGGTGTCCCTAAGGTGTGAGGACTTTTGAAATTAAGCTTTTAGTTAGGTCCATCTCTACTTGTTTTTTTGTTTGTTTGTTTGTTTGTTTGTTTTTTTGCCAACTGACTCACTCATCCCAGAATATTTCATACTTGATTAATGAAATGGATTCCATTGCTCCTGAGTAAGAAAGAGGAGTGACATAACATATTTACCATCTGTTTATAATTAATGCAGACCCTTAAGGCTAATCAGCTTAACAAGACACACTTTTGAAACTATACAGAAGCTATCTGAGCCAATTCTACAATCAAGACTATTGGTTTAAAAATTTCACACACTGTATTGTGCAACATAAAACTACAGTGATGACAAATTATAAAGCATGTTATCGCAACATACCACATTAGCATTACTGAATTAACATCACTTCCAACAGAGTAACCCCAACATCATGCAGATGAGCAAAGCTGGAAGTACAGATGGGGTTGAGTCACAAAACTGAGATCCCAGATTTCTGACATTTTCGGAAGGTGATCTTTTAGTTTGCTCCCTTTTATGCAGATCTGTGTTGATATTCTGAAGACCTTCTCTCCCAATGTTCTAGAGCATTTGAATCACAAGGTTTGGTTCTAGCTCATCTATTGTTAAAACTATTACACTGTGTTTTGTAACTGATTATATCATTATATATTGGGCGGTTGGGTAAAACCTTACTAAAGCTAGTGGGTGTAACAGCTGCTCTTCATTCAAGATAAATGTAAAATGCAAATAAGCTCCTTTATGTAATAGATAACTGAAACAATATGAGCTACACCCCAAAACATAATCCACATACAAGGCTGGAATAGGATTTCAGCCATGTGATCTGAAAGGTTTCGACAGGGGTCTGAATGAAAATACCAGGCAGGGCGGGGGGGGGAGAAAGGAAGGGCTTGCTTATTATTTGATGGAGCTGTGTGTGTGAGAAAGAAAAACAGAAACACAAAGAAGCACACAGACAAGGCAGCAAGGAAGCCCCAGAGAGGCACTTGAAGTGAGACCCTGATAATATAGAATATAGAAAGTGGGCTAAGTGCTGGCTGGAAAGAGGCTTGGAATGGCAAACAAAGAAGCTGTCTTTTATTGTTTGATTCCTACTGTGTTCAGGGAAACAGGACGTTGTGTACATTCTTTATAAATAAACTGGACTGTAATAAAGACATATCTGATTCATATTATCAATTTCTCCACCTAACAGAAAAAACCCACAAGTTGCTGAATATTGGCTAATTGGTCAGGTCTAGGGAGGTAACAGTATTGTGCAAGAAGCCTGAACTGAAATTTATTCACACACACACATTAATCTTCAGGTCTTTAAGATTTGATTTGATCTGATTTTTCAGAATTGGAGAAATAAGGCAAAGGGATAATTGTGTTCTTCCAACTTTCTCAAATCCTTTCAGTGATAAAACTGCAAAACCAAGAGGGATTACAGAGAAAGGTTTCAATATTAAGAGCCATATTTTCAGAAGAGCTCAGCTCCAATTTAGACAACTAAATGAAGAAGCTGTGTTTTCAATCCCCAGCTGAACTCTCTTGCAAATTTGGTCCCAATTGTGGGAAGTAAGCTCTTTCGAAAATCTGACTGTATATGTACATAACAGTCCTTGATTTATAAAGGAAAACAGAAAATTCCCTTACCTTAGCAAACTGTGCATTTACCCACTTTGTGAATGTTTTCTTTTGAACATCTTCCCTTTCATCTGTAAACAAAAACAGAGGAATTTATTAATATCAATATCATATATGTTTTGACCAGAGGGAAAAAAGTCCCTAATATTATTATGAATGGTTGTTTCCAATTATGAAAAATTTTATATACTATTTGATGCTGTATAATTAAATAAAAGTCCTGTCTACACTGCGCTGCAGTGCAAACTAATGTGAACTAGGCAACTTTTAGTTTGTGCCAGTAGTGTTCACATGGGGCATCTAGAGTACAGCGCTTTGGTGCGCTCTGCAATTTACACCTTGTAGTCCACGCTGCGGCGCAGAGTCAATGACTCCAAAGTGATCCTCACTACCAATAACACTTTAGATAATCAAATAGAGTGAAAGTTACATTAGAGAAAATAAATACAGCCCATCTAAGTGAGGGTTGAGATATTATTTCAGTACCTGGATTATAGGACAACAATATCTCTCTTTTTAAAATTATTAAATATGCCTACTCGTACACTGCCTGCTATTCTGGACCTTCATGATATAGAAAATCATGGCTGTTTGACAGACTGCAAGAGGCGCTTTCATGGCATACATAGAGCATGCCATGTCAATGGGACCCAAGAAAAATCAAGGAAGGGATTTGCAATTGAAGATCTGCCCCCACACGCCACAGGAGAAAACATTTGTGTCTCTTGACCTTGCCTTCCCATCAAAGGTTTCCCACTTCCCCAATTACAGAAAAGCATTGGCTGGCACAGTGCATCCATAACTAGTATGTTTCCTCTCATTAGCACCCAATTAGGAGCGAACCTCTGCTCACAGATCTGTATAGGGATCATCAGCAAGAGTCCCTAGGAAGCACAGCATAGAATTTCTAGCCTGCAGGGCAGGGAGAGACTAAAGTGGCTTGTGTCCTCCCGATCCTGGACTGCTCTGGAGGCTAGAGCTGTTTAAGTTATGGCAGCCTCCCTGGGCTGCCTGAATGGACTACAATATTTCCTGCAAACCCTACAGCCCTTCCACCAAGTATAACCCTTCCTAATCTTAACCCTTCCCCATC